ATTTCAGAAATGTTTATTTGTAAATTTTGAATGTGTTCATTATACTCACTTTAGCAGGTGAAAATAAACAAGTGAGATGGGAAAATCTTTGTTTTTCATTTAGTTGCATAATAATTCTGCACATGAATAGTTACCTAATAATAGTGTACTTATAGATATTCTCTTAAGAAGGCCAAAACTTCCCTTTTACTACTTAAATGTTCAAGTTTGAGGGTTTGTTAACATTTTGGATTGACCTAGAGCAGTGTAGTTGTACAATAACAAAATTAATCTTCAAAAATGTAACTTGCCTAATAATTGTGCACACAGTGTAGAAGCATCTCTGGCTGAAGATCAGCAGTGCTCTTCCTTCTGTCTCTAGTCCTTCAAGTCTTGAGGTGTCCACATCTGCTTCAGATAACTTTGGTTTCCTGCCTCTTCCTTGGAGCCTCTTCTAAGAACCAGTGTCGTTAGTTGACTCCAGATCTTACCTGACCACACTGTGAGAACACTTCATGTCTCTCCTTGTTTGTCTCAGAGACCGTCCAGCATCATGAAGAGCTTTAATGTGGACTCAGTTCTCCATGTTTTACCATTTTGAACAGGAATGAGGGATTTCAAACTGAATTCATCTTTTTATACCCAGATCTGAGCCACTGGGCTTTTCTGAGAAGTAAGAAAACTGAAGAAGCCTTTTGGATGAAGGTGAAGTGTTTTCAAGAACCAAAAGAGAAGTTAGCTTCAGCTGAATCTCTGAGGAGTTAATCAAGTGAAATCCAGCGTATGGTCATGTTGCTGTACACACTCAGCATACAGGCAGGATGACAGAGCGTTTCTTCACCATTATTTCATCAGTACGTTTTGCGGAATGAACGTCTGGGAAAAACACTAAACGTTCACTCTAGCTGTCTCCTGAAGGGGGCGCTGCATCTATGTGTGCCGCCATCACCATGGCAACATAAATAAAATAATGTGTAGTTTATATCAGAATGTGTTACTGTGTGTGTTCGCAGATACAGTTTGTCTAGTTATTGTTGTGTGTTTGTGTTCAGGCTGCGCAGTGTTCTGTCCGTCGTCGGTCCTGACGCCTTGAAGAAGTCCAGGAAGGACGAAGAGAGAGCCAAGAGATCACAGGATGAGGTCAGCATGCCCACAAACACTGGAAACGATCACAAACACCCAAAAACATGTAGAAACGTCATTCATTTAAACAAGATGCTTAACATGTGGGTCCCACACTTTAGTTTTTGGGGAGAGCACAGTGAATTTAGTGTTATTGCTTGAATATTCTCTGTAGTAAATCCCAGTAGAATAATCAGTGTTCTACTCTGTGTTCTATCAGCTGCAGTAGCAGCAGAGGAAACGGACTGAGCATAAAAACATACAGACGTGGACCAATAGCTGGTAGCCCTCAGTTAATGAAAGAAAACCCGCAGCGGGCACAGAAACAACTTGAATCTGACAAAAGTAATAATAAATAAAAATTCTATGAAAATGAACCAATAAAGATCAGACGTTGCTTTTGAACCGTGGTTCAGCAGAATTGTTTAAAAAAATAAACTCATGAAACAGTTCTGGACAAAAATGATGGTACTCTAGAAAAGACTGAACATAATGTGACCACAGGGACATGTTCAATCAAGGTGTGTCCTCTAAT